TCAGTAATTTAAGATGGAACATACCGGTCTTTGCCCAGACAGTTCCAAGTGTGCCGCTTCGGGAGCAGCCAGACAGGAAAATTGACTAAATAACCGATATGCACAGAAATCAGCTATTACGGACAATAAAGCTTATGGATCGCGATTAGTTTTATGTTGATAAGTACAATGCCCGCAAATGTAAATGAGATCATCAGCTAGGTGGATATTACCAGTATGAATCATTGAGCCGATGAATCTAATCAGGAAAAGATATAGCATGCAAACAAATCGACTGTCTAATTCCAATGGATCTACAAACGCTCTGAATCTAATCTGTTACCATCAACAGTGAGGTTCGACCGGATCGATGACAGCTATGATGATAATAACAAACTAAAACCGAAGAATCCATAAAACTATCTATACTTCGATAGGCTTTCCGAAAGACTTGTTATACGTGAAGGCTTAGATGAATCGGCTAAAATAGCCGATTCAGGTGAAAAGGGACTACAACGTGTGAACAATCGACTATTTCACATGGACAAACCTATGGACTCATCAGACTTAACCTACTATCTCTAACAGTGAGGTTTGACCAGATCGATGCAGCTATGATAAAGACAACAAATCAAACCCTTAAAGTACACAGATCTATTCACGCTTAACAGAATTATGGACACACTGTAGGCGTTAAAGCATAGGCGATCAGCTATTTAGCCGATGTAGGCATAGCAAACAGTTAAGGTCATGTCTAATCGAGAACAAATCTACTAACTAGCATCCTCCAAATCTACAGTGCCATCAGTGGTGATCGATCGGATCGTTACAGCCATAATAACGAACTATAGACCAGATTTAACTAACCAGCAAACCTCTTTAAGATCATACACGCCTTAACCGCATACTATGCATGATCAAGATCGAAGTAGAACAGCCGATGAAACGTAACCCGTCGCTCAGAGTAAGAAACATCATGTTGTAATAAAGCGAACGACGGACTGAAAGGATATAAGACCGATCTAACTCGATCTTGACCGAGCGGATTGATGTTGCTGCAAACTAATAACAATGAAAACATCAGCAAGATCGGTAACTTAATGAATCTACCCGAAGGACGCCACCCTTAGATAGAGCCAATAACTTGACCTTAATCTAGTTCGAGTAGTGGAGGTCGACCAGATCGATGCAGCCATACTTGAACTAGACAAGAGTCGATAACTAGCTTATACTAAAGTTCTCAGTGGAGGTCGACCGGATTGATGCAGCCATACAAACCAAAGTATAAGCCATGACAGTACTTACAAACAAACCGGAGGTCGGCCGGACTGATGCAGCCCTACTTGCTGAAGAACTCGCTGAGATCTACTCTACTCCTACTCCTAAGGGTTGGCCGGAGCCAAAAAAGGTAAATTGTATTTGATTGATTGGATGTCTTTTTACAATAGCCGGGATCCAATATTTATACCTGGAGCCTAAACATGAATCTTACTCAAGTACGATTTATTACAATCTTCGATATAAAAGAGAACATTCCTAACTTAAGATAACTTGGACCCTAATCTTTCCCTTTTTGTAGAGTCCGATATATATTTTCCGACGCCAACCGTAGCCCATTATCGTTATCTGCTGACATTATTCAAAGAGAGCCGATTCCAGTATCTCCTCTAAATCAGCTGATATCGATCCTCATGCAATCAAGTCCTTGATCGACACAATTTTGGAAGCTTCGAGTTCCTGCGTTCTTCTTCCCAAATTTTGGTGTAAACAGGAAGCATTTCAAATGAATTAAGCTTCTTCATCACAAGGTGATAGCGTTCCTCATGCTCACTCTTGGTTCCTTAATGGAGCGCAAAAAATGTCCGACCATAGTGAATGGGCGTCTTTGTGGTTCCGCACACGGTTAAAGACATCCTTGCAAAGGCCTCTAAAAAGGGTGTTTCTATCCTTTGCATTCCACTTCTCGTAGTGAACCTCATCACCTTAAAGGTTGCCGGGATCTTTAGGTTTTGGGAAGCCTTGTGAGGCGGCTCTAAGTACTCCAACATCTAAAGCCTCTAGGTACGCCTCCATGTGAATTTTTCAATAAGAAAAATCATCTCCCTCAAAAACGGAGGGGGTCCATCCCCGTGGGACATCTTGCTCTAGGCGGTTAAGCCTAATTTATGGAGCATGAGGCTCTGATACCAATTAAAAGGATCAAGATGCCCAAGAGAGGGTGGATGAATTAGGCTAATTCTAAATATTTTTCAATAATTAAGTCCTACACTTAGCCCATTTCACCCCCTTGAGTCTAGAAGTGTTTCTATTGTTCTACCGCATAAAAGTTTTGCACCCTAGGTTCCAATCCTACTCTAGCATGGTAATTCTAAGAATGTAAAGATATGAATTGAATTGCTCAAATGTAAATGCTCAAAGTAAAGAGAAGAAGAGGAATGCAACAATGTTTTTTGAGGTATCGGAGAGTCGCCACTCCCCACTAGTCCACGATGGAGCACCCATGCAAGGGTGTAGCTTCCCCTTGATTCGCGCAAGGATCAAGTGCTCTCTACGAGCTGATTCTTTGACACTTCGTTGCGGTGAATCGCCCGCAACTGCTCACACCATGACTTGGGTCATCCACAAGCTTCGCCGGATGATCACCAAGCTTCCAATCACCACCGAGCCGTCTAGGTGATGGCGATCATCAAGAGTAACAAGGACAAACTCTCACTTGACTAAGATAAGCCTAATGAGAAAGGTGGATGCACACTTGCTACTCCCTATGCACTAATGAGGTCCTTAATCTTGGATTATCAAATCTCAATCACCCCACTAGGCTCTTGCTCTCCCTTGCACTCCAAATATGTTTCTCAGCTGAACAAATGGGCAAGAGAGCTAAGCTGGATGAGTAGGAGAAGTATATATACTCTCCACTTTAAAACATGACCGTTATTGTCCAACTCAGCAGTTTCGGGGTGACCAGATGAACTGGTCGAAGTGACCGGACGTGTCTGATCAGTAGCCAATGGCTACGTGGCGTCAGCATGTCAGGGAAGGCTGTTGGAGTGACTTGACACTGGCTAGCGTCCGGTCAACATCGACCGGATGCGTCCGGTCAGGAATTTTGGTCTCTGGACCCTCTCTGATGTTGACCTGACGCTACAAACTCAGCGTCCGGTCGTTTACTGTTCAGCGTGCGGTCCTCCCTGACAGCGAGGCCCTACTGCTACAGATACAACTAGAGGCGCGTTCGGTTTCAATCACTATGCAGCGTCCGGTCGCTCTTTGGCCTCTGCTGTGCGCGCTGATCACTGATCGGACGTAGCACCTGTGAGTCCGGTCGTCATTAAAACAACGTCCGATCAATATTTGACCCTCCATTCACTTCCAATTCAAAATCCTTTATGAATGAGTTTGACTTCAATTGATCTTTGGGCTATTCCTGAGCTACCTAGTGGTAAGTTTGACAAGTGTGCATCACACCTAACCCATTGGACTCACCTAGGTCAAGCTACTAGTTCATACCCCCTTAATAGTACGGCCAAATAAAAAATAAAGTCCTAAACTACTCTAAGTGTCTCTCCAACACCAAACGACACTTAGCGTCCATAACTTTGTCGTTCATCCTTTCAAAACCGAAACGATTTCCATCGATAGGGGCATGAAAACCATAATTGCCCAAACAATCATCATTACCATGATCTAACTCAAGTTGCCTCTGCAAAACACACGTTAGTCATAGTAATCTCGTGTCGTCATTAATCACCGAAACCCAATTAGGGGCCTAGATGCTTTCAATCTCTCCATTTTTGGTGATTGATGACAACACAACCTCGAGTACGTATAAGAGATAAGCGAGGTTTTCAACATGCTTGGTTCATATAAGCAATTGACAATAAGAACAAAAGGGGGTTAGGCATGCCTATATAATCCAAGCCAACGCAATGTGCTCACAAGATATGAAATACGTATGTGTACACAAAGTAAAGCTCATTTGTATCGGAGTAAAACACGAAAGCAAAGCAAATGAGCATAACAAAGTGACATGACATATATATCAAAGTAGAGAGCACACATGTCACATAAGTTTCACAATCACACATATATCGCATATAACACAATGCATGAGAGTAAACGTGAATGCATGAAGTATCACACACAAAAGATCGAGTCCATCTCACAAGCTCCCCCTAAATCTAACATACTCGCTCCCTCTCCCCCTTTGGCGTCAAGCACCAAAACCTAAGGGTCAGACGGCGGGGTAGAAGCAGACGAGTCGGGCGCTGAGGTGCGGTGAGAGATCTAAAACTGAGCTGCATCATCCTCAGACCTTGAACTCTGAGCGGTCGGACCCTCTGTCATTGGAAGTGGAGGTGAAGCGGTTTGGGTCTGCTCGGTGGACTCGATAGCTGGGTCAGCCTGTGGTAACGGTGAAGCTGTGGTAGTAGCCTACATATAATTTTTCTCAATACACCACAGCAACCGAAATATAATTCTTGCAGATCCTAATAATACATACCTTATATCTCAATCAAGTATTTCAGTTTAATAATGAACAGATCATATGCATTATTCATCACTTAGTTTTACAGATCAAACCAATTAATTAGCAAGTAATGAACTAATCTGGTCAAAATAATATTTAAAAGTAATGTATTAGCTAATGGACCGATTAATCATCAACTTGTCACTGTAGTTCGGCCCAAACTATATATGTCTTTTTAGCAATACAAATTAATATGACTACAATCAATATAATATTTTAGCTTGGTTAGGACGATGACAAACAAAGCATCGGCCTTAATTTAAGTGTTCGTATAGTTCCACTCATAACAAAACATTATATCCATACCTTTGTGATGCGGAGTACCATGCTAGTTCGATGATGAACCTCCATCGACCAAGCTTCTATTTTCATCATCGCTAGCGAACTCCTTCACTTGTTTTGGCCTCCACACCTTCTTAATAATAGACATCATAGTTTTCTTTTTGTCAAATCCCAAATCACCCAATTTTTTGTCTTCCTTAATTTCTATGGCTCAAAGTCGTTGTACCCGTTGCTTTTGTGTATGCGTGAGACCCGCTGGGTACCACTGTGGTTTCGGTTTGGTTCCTGATGCAACCGACCTAATTCTGCTGCCCCCCAAGAACCTTGGTCGGTAGATAAGTGCTGTTGTTTTTGGCCTAAACAAATTGTAGTTGGCCGAAAACTTTCTCCATTGGTCAGACATCCCACCAGGCACAACTACCTTGCTGCTGCTTCTCATGACTGAATTGGCAGGAATACTGGACGATTCAGGCTCCTGGCTAGTACTAGTAATAGCAACTGGCTTCTCTGAATTGTTCAGTGAATCACAATCTGAATCAGCAAGCAAGCCATCGTTTTCTACTACAATATATTTTTTCTGAAATGCATCAGGGCCTTGTTGCTGCTGCCTTGCATCATTCCCAGAGTCTCCTGAACCTGTTCAATGTTTCAGAACTGAACCACACCGGAATCTAACAGCTCTATTTATGTTCAAACTAACACCTGCAGCCAGTTCAGGTTTATCAATCAAGATGTCGTCAGTTTTCATACCATGAACAGCACCTAGCGCATCTGAACATGTCACAGGTTGATTGCAATCTCTGGACTTGATTGGCGCCCACTTAAACTGCTGTCCACCAATTTGGATCAGCCCATCAACATTGTGTCTGGGCAGTCGTCCAACACCATATACTCCATGACCAGCATCATACCTAGACGACACCCTCCTGGCACCCATAATAGGATTGCTCACCTCCGAATTTCTAAATACACTATCTCTGTCTGAACAAAAAGCTTCACTAACTGAGATTTCTTCTCCACCATGAACAAATATTGCGTCTCTTGGCCGGTAACCTTGATCTGAAAACCGTCCAGTGCCTTCTTGTTGTAACAAGCTCCTTTTCCTGTGTACTTGCTGCCCAAACAGCTGCCCTGCAGGTTGCCAACCATGATGGAGGAGATGTGCATTTTCTGGGAAGCCTGGCCTCCACTGATTAAATCCCCGTGATGGATATGACATTGGCATATTAAATGGACAGCCCCAGTACGTTTGCTCCATTGGAAAATATGGCTGTTGTGTATACATATCCTTTTGCGATAAACCGAGTGGGCATCTCGGCTGTCATTCTCTTGTGAACTGCAGCAATTCATCCTTGACTTTGGGCACTTTAAACTTCTTTTGCTCAGATTTGACATCTAGATTATTAGTACCTAATTGCTTCATCTTTTCGCTAATGGTAGCCGAAGTTTCCAACACATTAATCGGCTTTTCATTATTGGAATCTAGAACTGAACTTTTATCTTTGCGGCCATCCTTTTTCACGTGATAAACTTGTTTGACTACCTTCTTATTCACGTGAGCTCCAGACCGATTCTTTTCCTTTAGACGGTCATTAGTATGTGACTGTCTTTCAAATGTTGATTCTCTTGGAGCAGCATACTCTAAGTGGAATGGTCTAAAATATGATGGAACATGCATCCATGGATCATACCATCCGTATGAATGTATGATGAATAAGGAGAACAAGCAAAATATGGTTCATATGACATTGGCATTTTAGGTGGACATTCCCGGTACATATACTCCATTGGAAAATATGGCATTTGCGTGTACTCATTTTCTTGCCAATGCTTGTAATCATCAAAATATCTCCTAGAAAAAAATTTAGTATGCCTGAAATAACTAGACCGATTAGAACCTTTGTCGGCCTTTTCTTTTTCATATTTAGCCAGAAGTTGTTTGAACGTCACCTTCGGCTTTTTTGATTTCGTAGTGCTAGGGACGGATGTTTGGGACTCACTCTTAATATCTTTGCTAATTTTAGGGACCCAATCTATTTTCTTTTTTTGGCTCACAACTTTGCTAGGCTTTTTAATCTTATCATAAAAAACATCACTACTAATTTCACTAGACAACACAACTTTCTTTCCTTTCGTTGAAACTGCCTCTTCTGGCCGAATCAACACCTTTTTATCCTCAAAATTAATTACATGTTTGGGGTTAGCTTTTTCAATTGACCTATGCCCCCAACCCTTGAGGTTCTATAGAATCCAATCGACCTTTGACAATAGCCGATTGAACGTTGTCCGATGTTTTAGAATTACATCCTTTCACCGTAACATCGGTCTTTTTATCTTTACTAATTGTCAGATTTTTATCACTACTTTTAACACCACCCAAATTACTCTCCAATTCGGCGATCTCAATCTTGCTTGAACTTGCATTATCTGATAACTCAGAACCGTATTTGATCCCATTAAAATCAGTCTCTTTTATTTTATCAGTTATCAATTTAATATTTTGAGTAGCAAAATTATCATAAAACATGTCCTTTAATTTGGAGCAAGCATAAATTGACTTTGGAACATACTCCCTCCGTCCCAGTTTAAATGCATTTCTAGCTTTCAAACAGCCACCCTGTGAAATGACACTGCTACCCCTATAAGGCAATGACATGATTCATCTGGCACTCCACTCGCCCAGACCAGCACACTAAAATATTATAGCACAGTAAAACGGATACTGTAGGCTTGTGGACAGCTGGAATACAGAGAATGACACAGAATAAAAAAAAATATACTCCGTGCTGCACTCTGCTCAGCTAGAGCTGCACGTCTCTGCTACCGTTCAGGCCTATATGTGTCGATTATTGTGGGAAAAATTTTGAACCTCAGAGATGCATTTAAACTGGGACGGAAGGAGTATAAGGTATACTTCATTAAAATATTATTGCTCGAGACATATAACAGAGGACTCCTAAGATCACTACCAAATTTATTTGATATAAAGACTTTATTAAATTGAGAAATAGGCAATGTATTTGTGATCCATACCTCTTTGAATTTGGTGGAGGAAAGTGATCTACTTACCTCGGTACTAGGTGAAGCAGAGTGGTCTGATGCAGCTACCTTTTTTATGATGTCATTCTTTGTCTTTTAAAGGCCCGCTAATTTTCTCTGTAGACTCTCCTGCCTCTCTTCCTCGAGCTCCCGTTCAATTTCCCACCGTCTATCTTCAGATAGATCGTCAAGCATGACGGCGATGGCATTGTCAGGGTCGATTGCAGCCACCTCGCTCTCTTCTTCATGTTCTTGCATAGCCAGATATGTGTCTTCTAATATAATAGAATTGGAACAAGTATTGTTTTCTTCGGCTCTTTCAATAACCGAATTATCATTCATATCTGAATCAATTTTATTTTCTTTTAAACTTACACGAGGTTTGAAACCACATTCTATAAGAATCTTGTCAATTAGGTCCTTACAAAATTGAGATGGCTCTAGAGAATTAGGTTGTAGCACAGATGCAACATAGGTATGTGATTGTAACTCTGGCTAAAAGGGTTGAGCATACGACGTATGCTGTTGAGGTACATTAGAATACACATTTGGAACCGACTCACACGGAACCCGATACCTATAAGTGGCGAAGGTGGTGTGTTGCGTGCTACTTCTTGATAAAAAGGTTGTTGCATATTAGATAAAGCCAACACTTCGGTTATATATGCCAAGATTTTGTGAAACCGAAGTTAAGATGGTAGAATTATTAGCGTTAGGTACAAAACAATTGGCCGAATAAGCATTATTATACTGACCATCATGATTATAAAGGGCATGTGCATTTGTGATGATATAGGCGTCATAAACATTGCCGATGTACTAGAGTCAAAAAAAAATGTTGTTCATATTGCTAGTATGATTAAAACTCGTATTCTGCGGCCCCATTCGCTTCGTCGAAAAAATAAGTCGAAACATTGTTTCGGTTGATTCGTGTGAGAGAAAAACACTGTTCTAGCTGAAAAAAACAAGCTAAAAAGTACGGATTATAAGAGAAGCGAACATGGGTTAGAGCCTATGGCTATGTTCGCTTATCTTATAATCCGTACTTTTCAGTTTTTTTTTTTAATCGGATCAGTATTTTTCTCTTACAATAAATTAACCGGAAGAGTCTTTCGATTCGTTTTTTTTCAGCAAAACAAACGTGGCCAAACAAACGAACGGGGCCATAATCGATACAGGATCATCTCATCTTCTCTATCTGAGCCTGTACTTTTTTAAACCATCGTCGTGGATGTACTGCAATGAGAGCATTCGAGCTATTAATCCAGTTATCCAGTCGAGGAACGGGAGCCGAATCCCATATATATGTGAAAAATGTGATATGATGTCAAAGTGACCGCCCTAACCCTTTCCGTGTTCCTAGCAATCACACCGCCCTCTCTAGTTCCGCCGCCAAATTAATCCCACTTCCAGCTCCATTGTTGATTTCTCAAGCTTCGCCTCTCCATATTACCCAATGTGATCACTGACCACCAATACCCTACCCTAGTCACGCGTCGCCATGACACGCGCCCCTCCGTGCTCACGCTCCTCGTCCTCCTCGCCGTCCAGCTCCCTCCCGCCGCCGCCGCCGCCGCCGCCGCCAAGCACCGCCACGCGTCCGAATCCGCCCCGGCACCGCCCGCCTCCTACCTCCTCGTATCGTGGGCAAGCAACCTCACGCTCCTGGGCTCCGCCTCCCTCCACCCGGGCGCCACAGCCGTCGCGCTCACCACCCCGTCCCGTGACGGCGTCGGTGCCGGGCGCGCCCTCTTCTCGGAGCCCGTCCGCCTCTTCGTCCCCTCCTCCGCAGCCGCCTCCTTCTCTACCCGCTTCACCTTCCGCATCACGCCCGCGCCCACACCTACGGTGACGGCCTCGCCTTCCTCCTAACCTCTTCCCGGACTTTCCTCGGCGCCTCCAACGGGTTCCTCGGCCTCTTCCCCTCCTCCTCCGCCTCGGACGAGGGCGAGGCCGACCTCCGCGGCGTCACCACCGTAGCCGTCGAGTTCGACACCCACCGCGACGTGGCGCTGCGTGACCCTGACGGCAACCACGTCGCGCTCGACGCGGGTTCCATCTTCTCCGTCGCGTCCGCGAGCCCCGGCGTCGACCTCAGGTCAGGCGTACCCATCATCGCCTGGGTCGAGTACCGCGCCCCACGCCGCCGCCTCAGCGTGTGGCTCTCGTACTCGTCGTTCCGCCGCCCAGAGAAGCCCGCCCTCTCTGCTGATGCCGACCTCTCCGGACTCCTGCGCACATACATGTACGCCGGCTTCTCGGCGTCCAATGGCAATGGCGCGGCGCTTCATGTCATTGAACGCTGGACCTTCTGCACCTTCGGCTTTGCCAACTCATCCCGCGCGTCGCCACCATCTGAGCCCCCAGCACAGCCCAACAAGGCACTGCTGCCGCCCAACAGCAAACCACTGCTGCTTACAGGAAGCCACCAGCACCACCACCTAATCTACAAGGTGCTCGGTGGAGTCCTTGGAGGCATGGTCTTGCTTGTATTTGCCATCGTCGCCTCTGTTGTCTGGCTCTCCAGGCCAGCTCGTCGCCCAACTGAAGAGCGTACAGTGCCGCCGAGCGAGGACAAGCCTTATGGGACGATGTCTATGGAGGTGGTACGGGCAGCTACAAAGAGCTTCGACAGTGGCAATGTGATTGGCATTGGTGGCTCTGGTGCCACTGTGTATGAGGGAGTGCTCCCATCCGGTTCAAGAGTTGCTGTCAAACGGTTCCAGGCTATATGGCCGTGCACCAAATCATTTGTAAGTGAGCTTGCGGCCATGCTCAATTGCCCAAATCATCCCAATCTTGTGCGGCTTGCTGGGTGGTGCTGCAGTAAGGATGAGCTCGTGCTTGTTTATGAGTTCATGCCCAATGGGAATCTTGACTGTGCACTGCACACAATGGGTGGAGCAACACTTCCGTGGGAGGCACGGTTCAGGGCAGTGCTTGGTATCGCCTCAGCGCTTGAATATCTACATGATGGGTGTGATCGCCGGATTCTACATTGTGATGTCAAGTCATCTAATGTGCTACTCGATGGTGAGTTCAATGCTAGACTAGGTGATTTTGGACTTGCTCGTCTGGTGAGCCATGGTGGATTACCGCTGACAACACAGCCAGCAGGCACACTTGGCTACCTTGCTCCAGAGTATGTGCATTCAGGTGTTGCAACAGAATGTGTACAGTTGCTCTGGAGGTGGCCACTGGCCGGAGGCCAACAGAGAGGGGAATCTCTGTTGTTGACTGGGTGTGGGTTCTATGGGGTCGTCGGAGGCTAGTTGATGCTGCAGACCAGCGGCTTCAGGGCCGATTTGTTGCGGAGGAGATGCGATGGATTCTGCTTGTGGGTCTCTTTTGTGTGCATCCGTACTGTAGGAAGCGACCTGGTATGTGAAGGGTAGTCAAGATGCTTGATGGGACTGCACCCTTGACAATGGTGCCAGATAAGAAGCCACCTGTTATGCTCCAGACACAAGTAAATCAAGGTTCATCAATGAACTCAGTGGATACTGTCAATACAGTGTTCTACAGTTGTCGCTGAACTTATATGTTAATAGAGGTTGGCTAATAACCACATCCTGATTCATATGTGGTTGTGTTGATGTCCAACTTTCATTTCTGAAACATGAGTAGAAGCTAATGTTGGGGTTGTTCCGCATTGTTGGAACATATCCTACTTGTGCACAGAACGCTGCATAACGTATTGTTTTCTGGTACAAAATGCATTGAGGTGTTTTCTAATAACTTGATTGAAAACTCCTATGCCACTTACTTGAACCATTGCTTCAGTTACTCATATATGCCTGATGATCTTCTTGATTTTGCCTAACAAATGATGGGCATCTATTGGGGTATTTGGACATTGGTGTCACTGTGAATAATCACAACGGAGCAGTAGCTCTGATGTTCATATAGATGCAACTGAACTGTCTTCCTATGTAGTTCTGAACATGTTGTATTTGGCGCATGATTTTCTTCACTGAATTTTCATCTGAAATATACTTGATTGGTCCTTTCATACATCATTACTTCCTCCATTATTGCATAGCATGGCATCTAGAGTGACTGCTGAGCACTACAGTGCTTATGTGCTGCTCCTTCTCTTCCAGCGTCTGGTGGGAAATCTACTCAACGCTGGGAATTCATCTCCCAAGCCCGGAGGAGGCACTAGGCCTGATGGATTGGTGGGAATGGTCCAGGGATTCGCTACCTGCTCACAAACGAAAGGGCTTTGACAGTCTCTTCACGCTTCACCTGGCATATTGGAATGAAATGAAAAGCGTGTCTTCTGGAGTGGATGGTCACAGCTCAGTAAGGACTCAGGACTAGCCATCAGGCAAGATGCCAGGCTCTGGGTACAGGGCGCAACGGATCTTGATTGTCTCTTTTTTTCCCCCCTTGTGTGTTTAGACTAATCCATTCGTTTCGGTCGTTTCCCTCATGAAAGAGTAACCTTCGAGTGTGTCCTCATGTGCCAGATAATGGAAAATCAGAATGCATTGTTAGAGCAACTCCACCAGATACCCTTTCACCTTTTACTTAAAAGACAATATAGGAGATTGAGAAAACTCAATTTCAGGTTACAGGGGAGAGCTTATACCCTTATACACTTATACAGCACATTGACAAATAATTCGTTGAGCCAGCTGGGTGGCTCGAGTAAAAAATGCTCTGTCTTTCTTTTAATATAAAAATAAGTAGATTTTGAGTGACTCTCGTTAAGTTTAGCTTGAAGTTGGGTCTCAGAATTTTGGAGACCATGATAAATAAGATTATGTCAATTTTAAAAAAAGATCGAAAAAAAGTGTACCTATCTTGTTATCCAGCCCTACAAGGGACTCACTTGTTTGTAAGTGACATCGCCTTTCTTCTTCTCTCCTCTTTTTCCTCTCTCGTCATGCTCTCTCTCTCCTCTCTTCTCTCGTGGCGCTCTCTCTCCTCGCTCTTCTCTCCCGTGGTCAGTAGACAGCGGTGCAACAGCAGCAGGCGGCGGCAGCCCGGCTAGCGGCTTGCGTGCTCGCCTACCCAACGTGGCTATCAGACGTCCAATTGGGACCCCCATGTCGGGCCTAGCGGGCCGACGGGAGCCTAGGACCCGACCCTGGCCAACGCCGGGGGTGACATGCGCGCGTCAGGGTGCGCGCGGCCAAGGAGGGCAGGCCACCACCGCCTCCATATTATACCGAATTCTAGATAGATTAGGAATAAATAAAGATTTGGAATAAAAATAGGAAAAACAAGTAGAGATTTGTTTAGGAAAGGAGTTGAGAATTTTTAGGAAGTAGGAGAGTTTTGCTTTAGGAAAGGAAGTTCAAATCTATAAGGACTCCTTTTATAGTTTTCTTGGTGTGCAAGTCCTATAGTGTCGACAGAATATCGTTGGCAATCCCGAGGGGTATCCCACGAAGGTAGATTGATCGGCAGAGGTGCGTGTAATCGAGAATAAGAAGACAACAGAGACACACGAGTTAGACAGGTTCAGGCCGTCAGTATCACGTAATACTCTACTTCTGTGGTCTGTTGGATTGTATTGGCTATCGTATGATATTGCGTGAGTTTGGAGGGGGTCCCTGCCCGCCTTATATAGTCGGGGGAGGGCAGGGTTATAGGTCGGTTAGATCTAGGAGATAACCGAAAAGTAATAACAGATTACATGAATCATGGGATCGTACGTATCATAACAGATCTCGTAGTATCTTCAGAATATCTTCCCGGTGTCTTGCGGGAGGCGCTGAGCAGCGTCGTGCCCCGCAAGACTTCGTCTTGTGGGCTGGGCCGCCCCTGGGGGCGAGCCCATGTGGTCTGCCGTGGGTATCCAGGGTCGTACCCCCCACAGCTAGTCCCCGAGCGCCTTGTATCCGTTGTGCAACGCCGTCCTGAGCATGTCCGAGCAGGTACGAACAAAGCCGAGCAGTCAAACTCATGGTCTGACCACCGTGATGAGTTGCCGAGCAGTTGTAAGCCGTCGCTGAGCAGCATGAACCGTCGCCGAGCGGCGTGAACCGCTGCCGAGTAGCGTGAACCATTGCGAGCAGTGTAACCCAAGTACGGCTTGCCATAAGGATGTAAGGAGCTCAAGTTCAGAATCGATTTTTTTTTCGTAGTGGACCAAGTGGGCCCACTTAGAGTCCGACCACAAGAAAGGGAGATAATCTTCTTCAGCTTCAAGAGGCGCGGAATCTTCCATATTAAAGCAAACACACTCATCGCAAGGTGAAGTGTGCCCACTTAGTCTCCGAGCCTAACAGTAGGTGACACAGTCACGTAGTGCCAGGGTCCAAAGAAAAGCACAAGACCAGCCGAGCAGGCAGCCAGTCCCTGGGTGTAGCCCAGAAAATGAGAAAAGCACATTCACCGCAAGGTGAAGTGTGCCCACTTAGTCCCCGAGCCTGACAGTAGGTGACGTAGTCACGTGGTGTTAGGGTCAGAAACAACAGTCAACAGAAGAAAGTCCCCAGTGCGGTGAGGAACCAAGTTGTAGTGCTGACGCAGTCCCCGAGCCACAAGTGGAAATCTTGGAGAAAACAAATCCTGGAGAAAAAACTGGAGTAATGGCTGTACAGTAGTAATTACTGAGCCGCAGATGGCGGAGAAGTCGGTGAATATTCGGTGAGCAGTAACAACTTGCAGCGATAAATGGGCGATATGTGCTGCAGTTGCGCGAAAGCCCAAGTAATGGCCCACCATGCGGTTTCGGAGAATTCGGAGGGGCGCAATTTGTGGAGCTGTTTCTCAAAAACCCTCAAATGCGAAAGAGTGGGGGGAATGCTATATAACTGCGCTGCCGCACCCCACGCTCCTACCTTTGCCACTTTGCCACTTTGTCTTCCTCCTCAGCCCTCACACTTCCAGATTCATACGAGCTTCCATCGCCAATCCTAAATCAGATCTGAGAAATGGCGCCGAAGAAGGGAGCTGTGAAACCGAAGAAGGCGTCCGTCGTAGCCAGCCGTGACGTGGAATGGGTGCCATCGAGGATGGGGGAGGCGGAGATCAATAGGATGGTAGAGGTGGGCGTTCTTTATGACTGAGTCACCATCGAATGGCGGCTAGCTAGCGGTGAGCCCTTCCCAATGCCCCATACTGATGAAGTAGTGGTGTTTGAGGATTATTTTTGGCGCAGGTTGAGATTTCCTGTTCATCCTTTCCTGAGGGATCTGTTGGAGTTCTAGGTAATTAGTCTGTGCAATCTCCACCCAAACACCATCTTGCACATCTCGATCTTTATCCACTTCTACGAAGCGTATCTGGGGGTTCTTCCACACTTCAACCTCTTCAGACACCTATTCTGGTTGAAGAAGAAGGGTGGCAATGATTCTAAGGTGGTCGACGGCGTATATCTACAACTCCGGGACGGGATGGCGAGCGAGTACATCACTGTATCGTTGAATACTTCGCTGAAGGGGTGGAACGCCAGGTGGTTCTACATGAAGTAGAGCCATCCTGTAATCCGCTACGACGTCGACCACATCTCGGAGAGCCAAAAGAGCTTGTCGGAGAAGCCGAGCAGTGTTGACATGGAGCAGGTGAGGTAGCTCCTCAACCTGATAAAAGGCATGGAGATTAATGGTGAACTGGTGGCGGCGAGCTTCATAGCGCGCCGCGTCCAGCCCTGCAAGGAGAGGGCCCACCGGGCTTTGACTTCAAGGGTGACAACGACGACACCCGGGAGAGCACGGGGAGGCTGTCGAAGGATGATGTGTTAGAGTGGGCAACAGAGCTATTCGCTCTAAATGCCTCGTTTAGCGTGTCAAGGTAGACGAGGGCCTTCAACTGTACGAATCCGCCTCCTTAGGTAACCATGCCAATTGTTTTGCTCGTGATACTTTTTATCCATTACCGTTGCCGTGCAGTGAACTGATTCACTTATGCAAAGATCCATTCGTAGGACCGAGCGGTGTACTTCTTGGGCATGCCGAGGGGCGTTTGGCCGCAGGCGGTAGATGCCCGGCCACCAGCTCAGCCTGAGGAGGGAGCCTTCAGCGCCTTGTTAGAGTCCGGAGGCATGGACGCTGGACGGACAGAGAGTACTCCCCCGGTATCGGAGAAAGTTCGAGGGAAGAGGGCAGTGGTAGATGAGCTAGCCTAGAAGAAGAGGAAGACGACGGGTGCCGTTCCCCACAAGCCGGGCAACATCTCGCTTGGCGGTGACTAGACCACTCGGACGTGGAGTGCGGTGATGTCCGAGTGGTCGGATGACGACGAAGCTCCAGTAGCTCCTCCTCCGAGCACTAAAGTGCCTCTGCGCAGCACGCGGGCGGAGGAGCAACCAAAGGGAGGGGAGGGAGTCCCCGAGCAGCCGGTGAAGGTAGTCCTCGAGCAGTCGGTGAAGGGAGTCCCCGAGCAGCAGGCGAGGGGAGTCCCAGAGCGGCAGACGGAGGAGAGGCCGACGGTGGAGACCACGAGACCTCCAT